CTCAGTCATTTCATTCGAGACCCAGATTCTATCCTGTCCGGTCAGCTGTCTCTCGCATTATCTTCATCCTGATCCTGAAGCTGGCTGTTTTCCAGGTAGAGAGAGAGAGACAGAGGCCAATAGCAGTCCAGGCTTATTGACCTCCTTTTTAGGACCAGTGTTTGGGCAATTGTCTTTCTTAGAAGCTGCCTGGGGTCTCATTGTTGGATTTTAATATTTATTAAAACTGTAGCTTGGTCAGGGATTTAGCTCAGTGGTTCTGCCGCCTGCCTCATAAGTGCAAGGGTCCGAATTCGATCCCCATACCCAAAATATAAATAAATAAATAAATAAAACAAAAACAAAAACCTGTAGCTGTATGCCTCATTAAGAGGAAGTTAGCTTGTTTATTCAAATCTTTTGTCCATTTTAAAATTGGCATGTCTTTTTATTATTGAGTTGTGGTAGGTCTTTACATATTGGGTATAAAAGTCCCTTGCCAAATAAATGAATTGTAAATAGTTTCAAAGTTTTGTGGTTTATCTTTCACTGTCATGATGATGTCCTTTGTAGCACAGAAGTTTTTAGTTTTTTTGATGTGCAGTTTTCTGTTTTACTCTTATTGGTTATGCTTTTGGTATCATATTTAAAAACTATTCCCAGGGTTGGGGATGTTGCTCAGGAGTAGTGTGCTTGCCCAGCCTGTGCAATGTCCTAAGATCAATCTCTGGTTAAAAAAAATATATATTCGTAATTGTGGCACTTGGGAGGCTGAGGCAAGAAGAGGATCACTCTTAAGTTTGAGCCTGAATTGTAGGGATGCTGTTTAAAAAAAAAAGACCAATCCAGGATTTTAAAGATTTATGCTTAAGTTTCTTCTAAGAGTTTTTAGTTTTAGGTCTTGTATTCTTTTAGTTTTCAAAAAATATATGAGTAAACTCGGATGATGATAGATACGAATATTTTGTCCTAGATTTGATGCAAGGCATTCCAGTGACAGAAGATCTTTATTCCATATTTACCAAGGAGAAAGAGCATGAAGCATTGCATAAGGAGAGCCAGAGGAGCCATCAAGAACTGATTAGTCAGCTTTTACAAAGCTACATGAAATTACTGCTGTCTGATGATGAAAAGTTCCATGGGGGCTGGGCCCTTATCGATTGCGATCCCAGGTGAGTGGGAGTGGTGCCTTGGTGACCGACCTGCATAACCTTCTGATGTTGCTGAGCTGTCCATAGCGCTGTGGGCATGGATGCTTGGTGCATGGCAGTTTTCAGTACAGTCCAGGGCTTGTGCTCAAGCATTTTCGTGGGTGCAAAATTAAGAGGTCAGTATTTGCTTTTTGTGTATATGTGTTTACTGCTGGGGTTTGAACCCAGGGCCTTCCTGCTGAGCTACATCCCCAGCCAACCCCACCCCCACACCCTGCCCACAGGGTCTTGCTAAGTCCCTTGAGTTGCCTAGGCTATGTTCAAATGTGATATAGGCCTTTGCCACCATACCTGGCTCAATATTTGAACTTCTAAACTTTCAAGTTGGCCAACTCTTGCCTGTGCCTGGCTGCCTGGGTCTTCCCCCTACCTGCCTCACCAGTCTACTTTTACTGTACTGATGCACATAAGTGAGTGTAATAAAAGGTACAGTGGTGCTTGTTATTTTTATTGGTTACAAAGTGGTCCTGGCCTTTCATAAAATAACTAGGACAACTGATACTTGACTCTTTTTTTTTTTTTTAATGAAAAGCATCCAGTTTCAAGTAAGTCTTGAAAATATCAGTGGACAACAGGATCTAAATTTATCTACCAGATTGAATGCTTACTTTTAGAGGTGAAATTGGATACTGTTTAATATTATAAAGAAACATTTCAGGAAATTCTAACCTCTGAGAATAAAGCATTATATTTAATTTTATACTTACATATATTTCATGTATTTTTAATAAAAGGGGCCTAAGTTAGGCTTGAAAGTAAAATCAAACGTGATAGTACTTATATATATTAAAATGAATAAAAGGCATTCACTATAGGTTCTTAGGGAAACTTCCCATGCTTTTAACCTCATGAATGATTTTGTTTTGATGGTAAATGTAGTATTGTAAATGGGATTTGCAGACTTTTAGAATGAAATGAGGTTTTCATCATACACGTTAGCATGGAATTTGTATTAGGTCACTTGGTAAAACATTTTCATTCATGTGCTTCAGTAGTTTTTATAAATAGAAGCAATCCAACTTAATGCAGCACCAAAAAGAGATAGGTTTGGGGAGGTTTTATTTCGTTGTTTTTTTTTTTTGTTTTTTTTTTTTTGTGTGTGTGTGTGTGTGTGTGTGTGCATGTGTTTGTGTAATATTTTTGGTACTTGGGGATCAAACACAAGACTTTTGCACTGAGCTACATCTCCAACCCTAATAAGTAGTATTTTAAGTTACTCTTCAGAGATAATTGCAAGTAACACCTACATTTTGCTTGAGTGTTAATTTTGTACCTCAATTTTTATTTACTTATTTTGGTACTGGGGATTAAACTTAGGGCGTTCCAGCATGCAAGGTGAGCACTCTACCCCTGAGCTACCTGCCCAGCCCTGTACCTCAATTTTTAAAAATCTTCTTTAAATCAAGTTTTCTTGTTTCTACTTTGGGGTAAATGAAAGTGGGAAAACCAAAAGTTTTATTTCTTCTTTGTGTCCCCCACCCCAATCCAACTCAGGGCCTCATGCCTGGAGGCTAGTACTCTGCCACAGAGCTACGTCCCCAGCTCAAAAAGTTTATTCCTAATGTTGGCAAACATTTTGTAAAATCACACTGTTCCTGATTTGATTTACAATCCTGTAATTCATTCTTTCATTCATTCATGTAGGTGGTGTTAGGGTTGAACTGTGGACCTTGCACATACTAAGCACTGTGCCACTGAACTACAGTCCCCCACCTAAATCCTATAATTATTAGTAGAAATTAATACCCTGGGTGAGAGGTATCAAAAGATGTAAAGTGTGTGTTACTGTTATTAAAGCTTGCAACAAAGTTTTGGTAGTATCATTAGAAATCTCTTTAAAAGATTCATGAAAACAGCCATATTTATTTCTGTATTTGTGAAAATAATGATGAAACAAGAATAGTCTTGTAGGGGGACTGGGGATTTAGCTCAGTGGCTCTGCTGCCTGCCTTGCAAGTGCAAGGACCTGAGTTTGATTCCCACTACCAAAAAAATAAAAAATAAAAACAAAAAAGAATAGTCTTGTAGGACCAGGTCTTTAAGAAATTACTGTTGAGTAGTCTTAAATCTCATAAATTCTCAGCTACTAAATGCTTACCTCAGAAATGTAATTGTTTTGTTTTTTCTCTTTTCTGCATTAACATGATGAGATACTTTTTTTTCCCCTGATTTTTTTACTTCCACCCCTCTCTAATGTCTGGCAGTTGCATTTCCTATTTCCCTTTAATCTTGCAGTAAAATTTGGTTTTGTGATAACAGAGAGCCTGTGATTGCCTTTTAGCCATCATCTTTGGTTAAAACTCCTGATGAAGAATAACTTAGCGTTAATAACGTGGTAGATAGCAAAGGTCAGGACACCCTTCCCTCTGCTGACTGCTGTACTTGGGATGTATCATTGGGAAGTACTTCCCCAAAAAAGCAGAGCCCACTTTTCCTCCATTGCAAGTTAAGCTGAACACACACATTTAATTTTCATCATCACAAGAAGCCCTGTACATTGTGGTTATCATACCCTATGTCCCATTTACTCCCAGCCCTAAGCAACCACTAATCTACTTCTATCTTATGGGGTTTTTCTACCTATTCTTAACACTGTGCATAAGTGGAGAATACAATATATGGGTTTATGTGGCTGGCTGATTTCACTTAGAATATTTTTCACGATCTTCCACATTGTGGCATGAACCAGAATCTCATTCCAATAGTATTATATTGTGTGGATATACCACATTTTATTTAGTCATTTGTGGACAGGCTTTTGGGCTATTTTCACATTTTGTCCATTATAAATAGTGATGCTAAGAACATTCGTGTACAAGTTTTTGTTGAACACCTATTTTCAGTTCTTTCCAGTACATATACTTAGGATTAGACATTGCCAGATGACTTGGTAATACTCTTTTTTGGGAAACTGCCAAACTGTTCCACCATAGCTGTAGTATTTTAAACGTGCACCAGCAAAATATGAAGGTTCTGATTCTCCAGTCTTCTCCAACACTGATTTTCCTTTCTTAAAAAACGTTGCCAGCTGGGCATGGTGGTGTATGCTTGTAATCCCACCTTTCTAGGAGACTGGGGAAGGATCCAAAGTTCAAGTCCAGCCTGGGAAAATGAGACTTATTGGGCCCTTGTCTCAAAATTTAAGAGGGCTGGGGATCTAGCTAGTGGGAAAGCTTGGTTCAATCCCCACTACAGGGGAAGGGGAGTTATTATAATCCTAGTGGGTGTGATGGGACATCTGATTCTCATTTGCATTTAATAACAAATGACGTTGAGGGTTCTTGTTGATCCTTTTCGTAACTTCATTTGGAAAAGAAGCCTATTCAAATATTTTTCCTGATTTAAATTGGACTTTTTGTTGTTTGTTGAGTTGTATTTAAAGTTTTTCCAAGACCAGAGCTAGGATTAGGGTCAGTCATCTAAGGCAGGATTGTGCAAATGTAAGGGCAGATCCTGTGTTTACTTAAGTTTTTTGACATTTTCTTCATCATACTTTTGCATCTGTTTGATTTTTTTTTTTTTTTTGGTACTGTGGATCGAACTTGGGACCTTCCACTTGCAAGGCAGGCAGTGGCACCACTGAGCCAAATCCCTGGCCCTGCATCTGTTTTGATTTTTAAAAAATATTGCTACAGCCAAACATGGTGGCACATGCCTGTAATTCCAGTGCTCCGGAGGCTGAGACAGGAGGATCACCACGAGTTCCAGGACATCCTGGGCTATGAGTTCAAGGCCAGCCTGAACTATTTAGTGAGATCCTGTCTCCAAAACAAAACCCCAAACGGAACAAAAAAACCCAGAATAGTGCTCTAAGTTGTCCGAATGACTGCCTCGGCACCCTCTTAAATTCTGTACCAGAGACTCTGCCTCACTGCCTCGCTGTAGGCCCAGCCGTGTCGAACAGCTCCTGCCAGGGGGGCGGACCAGGTCCTCAGCCCGGCTCTGGCGGGATCTGTCCAGCGTGGCACGTGTGCTCTGCAAGCTTTTCTTTTCGCACAGCCGAGGCAGAGATGTGGGCCAGGCCAGTCGGGCGTTCTGTGTCCTCTCCCACCTTTCCCCTAATAGTCCCACGCCCTCCCCTTGTCCCAAAACAGTCTGACCTGGGTGACAGCGGGAAAGAGGAGCCTTAAGTTGAAAACAAACAGAGGAGTGGGGCGGATCTGCCCTTTAGCATCTTGACAAGACCAACTCTTTGTGCCATCTCGGCTCAGCTTGTTCTCCATCCCTCCTCTCAACTTCCCTTTTCTACCTGGTTTCTAGATTGTCTAGGTGGGTGGTAGCTGCTGACAGTCATATGACGGTGCCCGGGATACTCGAGACGGTGGTCCCCTTCCCACTGCATCCCTCCGGTGACCGTGGGCACGGACCATGAGAAAGGCGCAAAACAGCTCTCGTGGGACCCAGAACCGCGCACCTCTCCTCGGCGGGCCTGGGTCTGAGCCCTACCTGGAGGCTGCGAGATGCCGGATGGAGCGCGCCTGCGCACTGGCTGCCAGCCTGGACCGGAAGTGGGCGGGTGGAAGATAAATCTTTGTAGTGGGCGGTACTTGGTGCGGCCGCAGAGAGGTTGCAGCATTTGGAGCTTTTGCTGCAGGCTCAATATCGGTACAGGCTGGTCTTGACAGCTGCGAGGGATCGACAGACGGACAGACTGACGGTCGGACCGGACCAACAGATAGACCATGCCGCGCTCCCACAGGCCTCCACTACCTGCGCAGCGGGCTCCTGCCGCCAATGCCCTTGAGCCCAAGTCTGATGGTGTTGTGGCCATGACTTTCAAGATTTTTCTCCTTTTCGCAGGACTCATGGTTAAAGTACCTGTCGGGCTATATTTTTCTTGTAAATTACTTCTTTTCCAAAGTCTGTTGTTAATGTCCCCAGAAGACAGCGCCTTTTACGCGACCATTGTCGCAGTGGTTGGGCTTCATGTGGTGCTGGCAATATTTGTCTTCATAGTGTGGAAAGAGGGTTTGCCTCAGTGGCGGGAAAACAAAAACGAATAGAGCAGCTTGGAGAGCTGCAAACGCTGGGGGGTGGGGTGGGGAAGTACCTACAGGGTTTGTTTTCTTTCTTGTTCCTATTAAACGTGCTTTCCTTTTCCTTTAGAGGGGAGGGTGTTTGGGGAGGGGAATTAAACATTTACGGCAGCTAAGGCTTCAGTAAAAATGCGGGTGGGGGGGCTGACATTTTTGACCGCCTGTTAAGTGCCAAGTGCTTTTCGTTGAGAACGTAATGTTTTTGATTGAGGATCATGTATGACTGATGTAAATATTTATTCCGAAATAGAATGCTAGGATGAAAGCAACACTGTAATTAGTAGGAACAGAATTTACTTCATATCAATGTATGTGTCGTGTTTTAATTTTTATGGCTTGGTTCAAGCAACAATTTTCAGAATTCAGGTAACTATCAATGCACAAAACTAAACTACATTTTACCTCATTCAGTATTCTCAGAGAAGCTGCCAGGATCATTGATTTTTTTCCCCACCATCAGTTACTTGATCAATGCTCAGATTTTACCTCTTAGAATCAATATTTTATTGATTGTAGCGTCTTATCTCAGTCATTTGTTTTTAAGTATATTAGGGGAAAATTGAGGTGAATTTGTTAATTTTAGATAAGACTGTTACAGTTGTGCTGCAATAAAGTGCTGCTGATATAAAAACCTGCAGTTTAAGATTTTAGTAAATCTGTCCTCCCCTGCGGCATCCGTTAAATAATGACCTCATTCTTTCCTAGAGTAGGAAATGGTTTATGTTCCATCTGCAAGTGATATTTTTTACTATGTGTTTTGCAATAACATTTTGATAAGGTCTAGTGAAATCCTAAGGCTGTGAAATTTTCTTACAGTGTAATTTTGAGACCATTTTTAAGAATGCAGATTAATCGCCACCTTTTAAAAAGAATCTCCACCTTTTGATGGAAAAGTTATTAACATTAGATTAATACTAAATAAAAGTTTCATTTGAGTTCAGATTCTACCTGTTATTTGTTGCCTACTTACAAGTAATATTACAAGGATGTAAATTTTACTGTAGTTTTGGTTTAATGATTCATCAAATCTGGTTTCTAACCTTTAGTTTGGTAATTGATTTTAAAGTGGGTATAAATATGATAGAATAGCCTTAAGGAAATGTTTACCTGATGCTTAAAAGCCAAGTAAATTAATATATAGTGAGAATAATAGAATGTAGCTTGAACTTGTTTCATTTTTGCATATAAATGTTATATTTATATAAAATTCTTTTCAAAAGACTCCTTATACATGTGTAAACATACCCTGAATGTGCAGTATGCTGTTTGGGTTAGATAATATGGGATAATCTAACTTACTGTCTTCTCAGTCTCAGGTTTTCCTTTTGCTTCCCAGGAACCACTTCTCTACCATCCTCCAGTCCCCTCTCCAGTTACCCCATTTCCCTCGAAGCCTTCCCATTCCTGGCTACCTCTCTGCAAAGGGACCTCCCCTCAGCTCCAGTTCTTCCTTCCACCTGCCCCATTTCCCAAATCTGATTCTTATGTATTATTTTTTTCATTTAAAAAAAGATAGATTATATTAACTACAGAAGTACACATAATTGACAGTTTGATTTTCTTTTTTCCACTGGCCAATCTTTTTTCATAAGTGGCTGTGCTGTGTGAATAGGCTTGGCAAAAACAGATGAAAATGAAAATACCTAATTCCCTGTGTCATGTTTGTTTAGCCTCATTGATGCTACTCATAAAGATGTGGATGTGCTGTTACTGCTTTCTAACTCTGCCTACTACGTGGCCTAGTAAGTTGCTTATTGATTTAAAGCTTTTAATTTCATATTTTTAAAATTTAAAACTCTAGTTTATTATATATTCATGAATTGAACCCTTTAACCTGATAGGAGTTATCTTTATCAGTCTGAAATTTTTATTGGTGAGTTATTAATCAGTATGTTCATATAATATTGTGATCTTTTAGCTTAGCATTATTACCTGTGTATCTGCCTGGTTTTGATATACTCTGTATATTTTTATCATTAATGGCCATCTTCCATTTTTTATTTTACTCATACCATATTTAAATGTTTGCCTATTGTTAGGCATTGAAATACCTGCAGTTGTTTGCTTTTATGAATGCTGCAGCTATCTGTTCACACACACACACACACACACACACACACACACACACACACACACACACACACACACACACACACCCTGCTTCTCTTTGGTTACAAGGATATGGAATTATGTGACTTTTATTTGTTTTCAGATATGTCTCCAGAAAGATTACCAATTAACAGTGTCACTAGCAGAATACTTGTTTTCGCATACTTCACCAAAATTGAATTTTAATATATTCTAAGTAAACATGCATTTATTTTTGGCTTTGTTTGAACTGTCATTTTCTTTTCTTTTCTTTTCTTTTTTTTTTTTGGACTGGGGATCGAACTCAGGACCGTGCTTGCCAGGCAGGTGCAGCACCAATGAGCTTAAATCCTCGGCCCCCTGAACTGTGATTTTTAAGAATATCATTCCTGATACCTGCTGGCATAGATCATACAGAGCTTCCATTGTTAATTTTGCATATCAACTTTATCTGCTATATTATTTCTAGGTAGTTTCAGAATGTATGTATGATTTGCTTTCATTTTAGATGTTTTAAAAACTATTTTTATGTTGTAATTGTTTTCTAGTGTAAGATCTATAAACCAATTTTCCTTTAGCTGCAAAACTATGTATATTATTCTTATTCAATCTAGTTTTGAGAATATTTTTGTTTAATCTTTACTCCAGAATGTATTAGGCTGGGAAAGATTTTATTTTAACTGCATGTACTTATTTACTCTTGTTATACTTCAGCTGACAAGCCAAATACATTTTTTTTTTAATCCTCTTTTTACTTTTTCTCTAGTTATGATGATGAAGTGGATAAAGTAAACCAATATCAGCGACTAAGTCTAGAAAACCTGGAAAAAATAGAAATAGGTAAATTTTAACATATTAACCAACTCAAAGACATCATGTGCTGTTGCTTCCTAGTATAGGTCAAGTATAGTTCAAAGTATAGTATAGGTCAAATTATTTTTTGTTTGTTTGTTTTGGTACCAGGTATCGAACTCAGGTCCTTGCACTTTGGAGGTAGGTGGTGGAACCACTGAACTAAATCCCCAGTCCTAGGTCAATTGTTTAAGCAACTGGTATACCATCTATTAGAAATAGAAAGGGATATTCTGAAGACTGTGTCTTCAGACTTCCTTTCTATTTTTTAGAGATTAGTGGATGGTCTAATAATTCTGAATTCTTTTCATTTTTTGCCATGTTAAGAAAACCCCTGCAATCAAGAAAATTTGAAATGAAACTGAAGAAGAGTTTTTATAGTGTCATCAGATCAGATAGCTATAGCCAGACATGGTGGTACACATCCATAATCCCAGTACTCAGGAGGCTGAGGCAGGAGGATCATCAAGAGTTCAAGGCCAGCCTGAGCTACATAGTGAGTTCAAGGCCTGGACTATATAGCAAGACCCTGTCTCAAAAAAACAAAAACAGATCAGATAGATGTGATAAGCTTGTGTTTTGTATTGTGTGTTTTCATTTAGATTATGAAAATGTGCTACATACCTAATTGATGAATGTTGGTCTTTTGAAGTTATAGAAGAAAATGGACATTATGTAAACTTTACTTGTATTTGTTTGGCCTTTTAGGTCCAGAACCCACTCTTTTCGGTAAGCCAAAGTTTTCCTGCATGCGACTGCACTACAGATATAAAGAAACAAGTGGTTATTTCCACACACTGAGAGCTGTGCCACGTAATCCAGAAGAAGATGGAAAAGGTAAAAAAAGGAAAGTACCTGATAACTTTGTTTGTGCTTGTAAATTCAAATAGAATTGGGACATTACACCCTACAGCCTGTGGCATGAGAAATGATGCAGGGAACAGCTTTGTGATCTGAGCAGTTCTATTCCCAGGATCTCAGGGATCTGATTTGGATATACTAGAATTTGGGGCAAGGGACTGTGTAGCAGCAGTTCTCAGTGTGTGTGTCGTCTCTGTACAAAGCCATGTGGATGCTAAGGCTCTCTTAGGAGCAGCCACCCACTAATCCCATCCACAGCTGTTACCTCAGCATCTGGCACAGTGCTTGGACAAACATGAAACATAACAAACATTTAATTCCAGTTGTTTGTTCTTTTGTTCTTGTGCTTTACTCTCCTGTTAAAGATTTGCTTTAGAATATTTTGATTCAGTGTGTGTGGGGGGTAGCAGTTTTCTGTAAGTTGCAGCAAATAAACTTGTATTTAAGTACATGACCACAGATATCAGTCAGGAATGTGTGAAGTTGTACAGGTGTATTTTGTGTGTTTTTGGAGACACTAACAAGTTTCACTTGGGTTTCAGACACCCTTCAGTGCATTGCAGAGATGTTGCAGATCACTAAGCAAGCTGTGGGACTAGACGTGCCCATAATCGAGAGAAAACTCGAGAGGTAAGTGCAGTGCTCCTCTTAAGATTTCCTTGGGATTTTTCCTCCCAATAATAAAGATTTAAGCCATGAATAGTGGTGCACACTTGTGATACCATCACTCTGGAAGTCTGAGGCGGGAAGATTACAAGTTCAAGCCCAGCTTGGGCAGCTTAGTGACTTAGTAAGACCATGATTCAAAGGTTCTTTTAAAGGCTGAGAATGTAGCTCAGTGCCTTGGGTTCAATTCCTAGTACTGGCCTCTCACCAAGAGTATTTTCAAAGGAAGAAGTGAGGAAGATTATATTATTTTAATAATTTGGTAGTTAGAGGGCTAAATATTGAATTTCTGTGGATCAGAATTAATACTGTAGTGCTATGTAACTTTTCAGATAACTTTTAGACTTCAAGAGTTGTGCACCAGGTGTGGTGGTACACATCTGTAATCCCAGCACTCAGGAGGCTGCAGCAGAAGGATCACCATGAGTTAGAGGCCAGTTTGGGCTACATAATTCAAGTCAGCCTGAACTGCATAATGAAACCCTGTCTCAAAAACAAAAAAGTTGCACAATTCATTAATATACCCACCATGGTACATTAATTTGCTCTCTGTTGGTAGTATTATTTTTTTCATTAAGTTTATTGGTACTTTTTAGTTATATAGTACAGTTACATTCATCATTGGGATCTTGTACCTTTACATGATATATCTTGGTTCTTATTTTTACTATGAGTAGTATTTTTGTTTCTTAAAAAAGTTATATCACAACTGATGGGGTCCAGGGAAAGATTACCTGTATTGTCTCAGGTCTTTCCTAAACTGGCAGATAATTAATTTGGTCTAACATTACTGGGAACTGGTAAACTTACATAAAACCCAAAATCTAATATCCTCAAAGCAACTGAATGGCATCAGGAAAATAAGCTGGAAATATTCTGAAAGGGAATTCTGAATCAATAGACTGAAAACTTTAAGATGCTTAATTGTAGAAATAAATTCTAATATCTGTCACTCCCTTGGAAAAAGAGGAATTTCTTTTTTTTTTTTTGGTCCTTGCTGGCTGCATATTTTTGAATGACTAATTTCTTTAGTAAAATTGGCCTGTATAAAAATTGACCATGGCCAGCTGTTTATGTGTAATTTTAAAGAAAAAAATTTTATATATATTTTTGTGATACTGGGGATTGAACCCAGGGCTTTTGTACTGAGCGAAATCACCAGTCTTTCTTATTTTAAAACAGTGTCTCACTAAGTTGCCCTGCCTGGACTCAAAACTCATGATCTTTCTGCCTTAGCCTCCCAGAATGCTGAGATAATGGGGGCATGTGTCACCATATCCGGTTAAAAGAACTGTATTTCTGAAAAAATTTGAAACATAGATAAGTCACACAAATCATTATAATGCAGCAACTATTACGTAGTCACACATAAAATATATATACATCTTGACTCTTCTCTTTTTTAAATAAAGCCTGTAAATATAAACTGTTATATCTAGCATTCCAACAAAATTCTGTCTTCTAATTTTGGAACAGAAATTGGCTTTGTTAGACCTAATAAACTATACAGTACAAATAGCTTGTATATAGTATTTAAGAAGTTTTCGAGAGTAATTTTGACTGGACTTGGTGTTTGCAATTGTATTGGGTAATTTCAGAACATGGACTCTGGTCAGCCAGACGTTTTAGGCAATTTTAAATTGACATATAATTGGACATATTTTCAAGGTACAGTGATATTTCATTTCATTATACTCTGTAATAATCATATCAGCCCAACTTTGATTCCTGAATGTGTCACTTACCCTCCAACTTTGGGAAAGATGTATATAAGTCTTTCAGTTTTATGTGGGGCCAGGGATTTAGCTCAGTGGTGCCACTCACTGCCTGCCTCGCAAGTGCAGTCATTTCCCATTACCAAAAAAACCACTTTTGTTATCTGTAAGATGAGATAATGAAGTGTCAGGAGTAGTTGCATGAATGGAATAATAATGCACTTAGAATAATACTTCTATACAATATTAAGCCCAATTGCTAAGAATGTAGGTTGCTGCCTCTCATTTCCAATAATCTTTGATATCTTTGTCATATATTATTTTTTCACATCAAGGATAATTTCCTTAGAATAATATCTCCAGATTAGAAATTCACATTAAAAAGTATGAATATTTCCCTTCCTCTTAACTGCCAAATTGCTTACTAGACTCATTTGACCCTATATACTTCCTTAGAGATTATCATTAGTTTCAGAAAAATTCCAAAGAGCTAGCTTTTTTCTTGAGTGACGTAGCATTTAAAATATATTCAGGAGGGCCAGGGATTTAGCCCAGTGGCTCCGCCACGTGCCTCATAAGCACAAGGACCCAAGTTCGATCCCTGGTACCAAAAATAAATAAATAAAGTAAAACATATTCAGGATTTGCTTTATTAATATACCAAGTAATACCTTCTCCACAAGTACTTAGCTAAGTGATATTTTGCAAAGAATCATAATAAAATATGGCTAAAAGAACCTCTCTAAATCCCGGCAACTGCTTTACTGTCCTTGATATAATTTATGTGGTCCGAAGTGACACATTTTAAACTCTTAAACTGAATACAGGGAACATTCAAATGTAAGTACTCTAGAGAAAATAGTACTTTGTACACGAGCATTTTGGGAAAAGAATGTCAGCTGATTATTTTAAGAATCATGAATTTTCATTCCTAGTGAGCACCAGTGAGGCTTCAGGATTCCCAGTCTATGAGGGAGGATGGCCGTATGGTCCTGAGGAAAACTGCTCAGTCTTTAGTGTGGGGAGAAATGTTTAGTAGGTCTTTAACCAATTTTTTCTGTAATATTCTCATAATACGGGATCCTGTATGACCCTGAGCATACACAACAGACATTGTGGCTTATGGCACCCAGACCTTTATTCTTACTTTATAGCTGTCACAAGGACAAAGGAGATAAAACACTTAAGATGTTATATTAAATATCCCAGTTAATTTAGGTAACCCATGGGTAACATAAGGAAATGGAAACCTTTCGTCTTTCCCTTGTCTTCATAAATTCAGTCACCCTGGAACGTGTCTGGGCAGCTTGATGCTACATTTAAAATACAAAGATGCCACCTATGGCCAGAGAGGCCTTTTCTGGTGGTTTAGACTGTGGATATGCTAGACCTTCACTGCCCAGAATGGTAGCTGGTCACTGCATGCTACTGTGAAGCTTGAATGCTATTTGTGAAATGTGACTAGTCTGAATTCAGCCATGCTGTAATCTTGTGTATACCACACTGGCTGTTCTAAAGACTTGGGGCAAAAAAAAAAAAAAAAAAATGGCATTAATCATCTTTTTAAATATTGATTATAGAAATAGTATTTTGTATATATTAGGTTAAATGCTATTATAGTTAATTCCCCCCCCCACCTTTGTTTTTGGTACCGGGGATTGAACTCAGGTCCTTGCACTTGCAAGGCAGGCCACCGAACCTCTGAGCTAAATCCCCAGCTCCTTCACCCATTTTTTAACATGGCTTCTAGAAAATTTAAAATTACGTCTATAGTTCATATGCTTCTAATGCACGGTGGTGTTTTAGTGTCAGCTGTCTTTTCTCATTACTGAGACAGAATACCTGAAACCCCAAGTTAAAGGAGGAAAGGTTTATTTAGCTCACAGTTTGTAGAGGTTTCAGTCCATAGTCAGCTGGCTCCAAGGCAGGGTGGCCTGGCGGAGGGGCCTGGCAGTGGACAGTCCATGGCAGAGCAGGCAGGAGGCAGCCAGCAGCCAGCCTCCCTTTCCCTTATCGCACACCTTTTGGGTGGTGCCACTCACTCCCAGGGTGGGCCTTCCCATTACCACACCCAGCACTGTAATAAACCCCTTAACCCCAGTGCCACTCACCTAGATCCAGCCATCTCCAAAAAGCTCCACCTATGACTGCATGAGGCTTTGGAGGGACATCTAGTTACAATCCAAAACAGCTCAAATAGGAGGATTATCAGTTAGCAATAAACCGTTTTCAAGAAAACTGGGACCAATTTAAATAGCAAAGCATTTTCATATTAATTAGAACAGGTATATGATTTCACAGGCTAACATTTTTTTCTTCTAATTTACAGGAAGAGCAGTAAACCTCATGAAGGAATCATTGGTATCAGATCTCAAAACCAAGGCTCTTTGGCCCAGGGGAAGAATTTTTTAATGAGCAAATTTTCCTCTCTAAATCAAAAAGTGAGACAGACCAAATCCAATGTAAATATTGGCAACCTGCGAAAGTTAGGAAACTTTACAAAACCTGAAATGAAAGTTAATTTTTTAAAACCAAATTTAAAAGTCAACCTTTGGAAGTCAGATAGTAGTCTTGAGACTATAGAAAACTCAGGAGGGATGATGGATAAGGTCCAGGCAGAGTCTGATGAAGACATGTCTTCAGATGACTCATACCACTCTGATGAATTCCTTACCAATTCCAAGTCGGATGAAGACAAGCAGCGAGGTAATTCTTTAGAGAGTGTAGGGCCGATCGATTATGTTCTTCCCAGTTGTGGTATTATTGCTTCAGCACCTCGATTAGGCAGTCGATCTCAGTCTATTAGCAGCACTGATATTAGCATTCATGCTCCTTCAGAGGTCACTGTTGCTAAAGGAAGTGGGCTTGGAAGAGGCCAGGAGTCTCCTTTGAACAAGAGCCCTTCTGCTGACAACATACATGCACTGACTGGCTTTGCTAAGCCTGTGGATATTTACTGCCACAGATTTGTCCAAGATGCACAAAACAAAATGACTGAGCTGTCAGAGACCAAGTCTGTGTCTCAGCAAGCTAGTGAGGAAGGAAATCAAATGACCAATCTAGTTTCTAATGAAGAAACTCAATCAGAATCAACAGAACAAACACCTTCTCGGCCATCTCGTTTAGATGTGTCTTCTGGGACAGGCCCCCAGTTCCTGTCAGTTGAACCAGTTCACTCAGTTGTATCTCGAAAGACTCCCAGCTCTGGTCTCAGCATGGAACTTGAGGCAGGGCGTCATGTAACTCCTTCCCCTTCTGAGAGCAATAGCAGCAGAGCAGTCTCTCCCTTCGCAAAGATTCGCAGCTCCATGGTCCAGGTTGCTAGTATTACCCAAGCTGGGTTCACCCATGGGATAAACCTGGCAGTAGCCAAAGTTCAGAAGAGTCCTGCAGAACCTGAAGTAGTTAATGAAGTCCAACAAAATGAACTTAAAAATATGTTTATACAATGTCAGACACGAATAATCCAGATTTAGATTTTAGACACAAAGAACCTTGTGGGTTTTAAAAATGTTTTCACATATTAGGCTATTTTAACTTGTATTGTTTGATTCTAGGGATCACCAGTTCTGGTTATTGGGAAGGGTTTTCAAAGGAGGCTGAATTTGAGTAGATTTCCAGACTTGAGAGCTATGACTCTAGGCAGTGTCATCCTACGTTGTGTAGACCTGAGTAGCATATACACAACAAAACTACAGAGCAGTTTATTCATTTGAAAGTAATTCAGAAACAGGTCACTTTGGCATAGAACCTGAAGTGGGTTTTTTGGGGGGTGGGGGAAGGAGGGATGAAGTATAGGAAGGAGACACAGGGATGGACCCGGGCCCATTTGAAAGTAGCATTTTTGTACGTTCGTGTCTGTTATTACCTCTACAAGGTAAACAATTCAGTAATTTAGTATGGAGAAGCATATGAATATAAAAAAATTTGATGGCTTAACCATTCCCTGTCGAGGGTTACTGATGCTGTCGTAAAAAAATTGGTCCCAACTTTCCCCATGATCTACTTGAACAGATTATTCTGCTGCCTGTGGTACACAAAACTGAGACACGTTAACTTGCCTATCATAAAGTAAACCCAGTGCACCAATTGTATCTGGCAGGACCATTTTATCTTGCTCTCTTTAAAGGAATGTTGGGCCAGGGATTTGTGCAGTGGTTTGGCGAAAAAAGTCTAAAGGAATGTATTGGCTACTAGAAATTCTGAAAGTCAAGTATTAACTTTTCCAGAACATTCCTCAACATCTGGTGCACACTACCCCAATTTGTGAAAATTCAGTTTGAAACACTTGTGTGAAAACTGATTTTACGATGATAATCCTGACCGGAGAGGACCAGAGCCTCCTGTATAACCAACCCACACAGGAAGAAAGCTGCACAGAAAAGTTCAGCAAGTATTGGTTTTTCTGCTATCTTTAGAGCCTTACTCTGTTGCAGTGATTCTCAGCTAAATATTGTGTGTTGTAACTTTGATAAACATTCCATTTTTGTTATTTATTAGTGGTATTTTTTTGATGTGTCAGATCTTGTGACTATTAAAGTAACCAGTAATTTAAAGTGACAATGTGTACATGAATTCCTTGTATAACATTTTAAGGGGTTGATTTCAGATAGTAAGGTTAAGCCGGGCGTGGTGGCATACGCCTGTAATCCCAGCACTTGGGAGGCTAAGGCAGGAGGATCGTTGTGAGTTCGAGACCAGCTGGCTACACATTGGTGGCATACGCCTGTAATCCCAGCACTTGGGAGGCTAAGGCAGGAGGATCGTTGTGAGTTCGAGACCAGCCCTGGCTACATAGTGAGTTCCAGGTCAGTCTCAACTACATAGTGAGACCCTGTCTCAAAAAACAAACAAAAAAAAAAGGAATAAGGTAACCTGATAACACTTGTGAAAATTTCCAGTTATTTTACTCTGAAGTTTCTCATGATTTAAAAAATGAGAATTGAATCACAAAACATTTCCAATTCCATATATTCAAAAGTGAACCCTTTATTCTGTTCTTACCAACTCTGGGTCTTGAAAATTGTTCCACACCACCAGAGAAAATACAAGCCAAGGTGAGAAAATACGCATGTTCGTGTTCCAGAGAAATGATTTCCAAAGAGATTTTTCAATACTAGTTGCCTTAAGGCAGTTTAGTTCCAAATAGGGATATACTGTATAGTACCTGTTCAATTTCCTCATCATTCAGACAGGAAGAACAGCTTGCCTTAAATTAGAGCAACAAACGAGAACATCCATCTGTGTAGGGAAGGGAGAAAGGTGACTTGGTAGAACACCATCCTGCACTACCACCCCATCCTTCAGTTTACCCTTGAAATGTTTTTTTAAGAACATGAAGCTTTCCCACATAGAACATTACATAGGTCAGTGAATCTTAAAATTGATAAAAACAGGCCAAGGTACTGGTAATTTGGGAAAGTTTATTTACTGGAAAGAGGGTTCTTTCACTGGGACTTTTCTGCAAGACCAAGCAATATTAGTATTTCTCTTTGGTAGATTACATTTGACGTTGGCACAGTTAGACACAATGGTAACTAATCTACTTTGTTCAAGGATAAAGAAATCTATTTTGCTCTCACAATCCAGTTGAGCCTTCATTTTATTTCTAAAAGTTTTAAGGAAGGTCTCGTTTATCAGTTATAAAAATGAAAACCAGTTAGAATTCTAATATAAACATTTACATTAGTTTATAAAAATAGATCTGAATTTAGGAAAAGAATGTTGAACCAGCAGCTAATTTTTATTTCCCTTCACTAAGCATAATGAATTCCTTGATTTTTCAAGGCTGACCCTGTTTCCTTGGTTAACAATGTCAATGTTAAGTCTTCCTTAGAGGAAAAAAATTATACACAGATACCTTTAAAAAGTAATATTCGGGGCCGGGGATTTAGCTCAGTGCTTCCATCGCCTGCCTTGAAAGTGCAAGGACCTGAGTTTGATCCCCGGTACCTCCCCAAAAAGTATCTATAAAAAGTAATATTCAAACCTTTCTGAATATTTTTGTTGCCACAATTCTGCCACTATGGTACATTAATTTGTTCTCTGTGGGTAATATTTTTGCTCCTTAAAAAAAGTATCAAAACTTGGGAAAGCTTACCTGTAGTTGTCTCAGGCTTTTACTGGACTAGCAGATAATTTGGTCTAACATTCTGGGAACTAGTAAACTTAAAACTCAAAATCTAATATCCTCAAAGCAACAGAATGACATTGGGAATCTCTTTCTAGGCTGGAGATACAGCTCACTGCCTAAGGGCAAGTGATGGCAAACCTTTTAGAGCTTTCAATGACAACCACCAGGCAGCTGCGGCGCATGCCATAGGTTCGCCCTCACTGGCAGAGGCTTTGGCTAGCATATGAGGCTGGGGTTTGAGCCCAGCACTGTCAAAAACCAAAGCTTATCAGAGAGTAGGTACTTGACATTAATTTAAAGTAATGAATACGAGGAAAGTATTTTTAATTTAGTTCTCATCAGATATTAATTTCCAAGAAAAAACCTTGTCTAAGTAACAATTATAGTGAAAACTTTTATACCTGTTAGTCACTTTTTAAAACATCCTAAGACACCTCATAGTTGCAGATATTGGCATGGGCCATTTTTTAAGATGAAAATTTTTTTTTGTCTTTATCAGCATTCTGCAATACCTGCGTTATGTAAACAAGAAAAATTCGGGTTCAGGGTAGCTAAATTTTTCAGAAAACTATGAGCTGCTAAGTATATTACAGCTAATGTAATAACAAAAGAATTGATGTTAAAAGTAAATGCATTTTTAGAGCATAGGACCAAATAAAAGGAAAACAAATTGCAAACTAAAGCAAAAAACCAAAAGCCTTTCTACAGAGGGTGTTGTTAATTTTTACTGTTTTATTTTTTTCATATTTAAGTGAATCCCATAAAACAGTGGGTTTGAATGCACTGGGATATAATGAGAAATGAAGACAATGAGGTGTTCTGCAAAAAGCTCCATTTATTCCATTTAAATACTGTCTTCGTTCTGGAAAAAAAAAACCACAAAACCTTCTCTTTGGAGGGTTACTAGAGTTTGAACCTAGGGCCTTCACACTGAGCTACATCCCTATCCCTTTTTAAATTTTTTGTGTTGAGATAAAGTCACTAAGTTCCCTGGACTGGTCTCGAACTCCAGCCCCTTGCCCCAACCTCTCAGAATGCTGGGATTATAGGCGTGTGCCACCACACTAGGCTGTTTATCCTTTTATGATAATAAAGTGATTTCTTTCAAGTTACATGTAAGAAAATCACAACATTATCCCCAATTTTTAAATTTTATTTTTTAAATTTTTGAGATAGGGTCTCACTTTGTAGTTCAGGCTGGTCCTGAACCCACTGTAGCCTCGAACTTGTGGCAATCCTCCTGCCTCTGCCTCCCAAGTGCTGGAATTACAGGCGTGAGCCACGACACCTGGCATATCCCCAGTTTTTGAAAAAAAAATTGCTGGTCCATAAAATTCCAAAGTTTGGGAACCACTTCCACTTAAATGACTAGTTTTGTAGGCTGTTAACTGTTTAGTGGAAGGTTTCTGTCAGTTGCCAGTTGCCTTGGTGTCCCACATAAGAATATATGGCAAGTTTGCCCTGTTCCCAAACCTGGACTACTGAATATACTCAGACCCACTATTAAACGGAAAGAAATCTGAAGTGCAAAATTCCTTCAACTTTGCAATTGCAACAGTTTTCTTCAAATGAAGTTAAGAGCATTTTAACAGAGTGGCCTCTGACTGCTGTAGCTAAGGAAATGGTATAACCAGCAACACCATCATTATTAAACTTTAATATCAAATATTTTTGTACATTGTAACTGATTTATATAATTATAAAACAAACTTCAAAAGCTCCATAAAATCAGTAAGGTAAAAGCCCTTACTGAGGTATCATATAAACTTCAGATGTTATCAGGCCTGACTTCAGGAAAAGTCATTGGTTTTTAATACAAATTATCTATAAAACAATGTGGTACAAATGACATTTGAATTTTACAATGTAGCTACCATTTGCCCATCAGTCTTCATGGGTATGAGAACTTCAAAGTTCATTTCCATTCACACATTTTTGCTGCTGAAGCCTGTTTCTTCTTAAAGACTCTAGCTGCTTGGCTCTTAGCCATCGTTCTCGTGACAGCGTTGTCTGACCAGCACTGAGAGACAGAAACCTAGTTTGAAACAAACAAATTTAAGTCTAGAGCTAGGATGCTAAGTAAAAGTTTTAAGACTAGGAATCCTTTTTTTTTTTTTTTGAGAAAGGATCTTGATATGTAGTTCAGGCTGGCCTTAAACTCACTATATAGCCCAGGCTGTTCTCAAACTTGTGATGATCCCCCTGCCTCAGTCTCCTGAGTACTGGGATTATAGGCCTGACCACACCTGGCTAAGAATACTTTCTAAAATCACAGCCCAAGTTAGGAGGCAACACTGTCTGGCAGCTACACACAAGTCAAGAGCCAACTTAAGACTTCTCCAAGGGAATCCCAGAAGAATTAGAACTTCATGAAGCTTAGAGGACACGAGGTAGGCCTGCTACCCTGAGGTGACCACTGACCTGCCCACTCCCCCTCAGAAAGTCCTTTCATAGGCATCTTAAAGGAAAGCCCTTTCTGGTCTCTAAAGTCTGCCTCAGCTATTGCTGTATAAATCAGGAGACTTACGGCACGGCCTTCAGAAAAAGCAGTCAGGAGCCTGGACTACTCACCGAGCTACCACCAGCAGCTGGTGCAAATCATCCGCAGTGATGCTCTGGGGGTCGTTCTTGCGCATCTCCACAAAATCATCTTCAACTGCCTTTATCAAAAGAGCACACTTACGTTAGGGTTAGGTACACCTTTAAAACTGCAAGACCTTTTCCTTGTAAGCAATAAGCACTGACTGTTGATGTAAAATGATGGTGCCTGCCTTCCTTGTGGACAAATGACACATTGGTGAAGAGATACTACACAGGTGAAAAGGCTGTAGATAATATTCGAGAAATTCCGATCCACGAGGACACGCAACTCGTAATAAACAAGATGCCTTTACCGATCCACGAGGACACGCAACTCGTAATAAACAAGATGCCTTTAAATGGGAAGAGTGGTGGTTTCAGAGAGTGACGATCCAGCCTTTTTGAAATCTGTTAATAAACTAGGCACTGCACTCTGGGGAACACTTTTGTGGGGACACCAGGTGATTCCTGGTAAGAACATGAGCTTTGTGGTACTTGACTTTGCTGTTCCCACAGCCCACCTCGCCACGCAGGCCAGGTGACTGCAGTGAAAACCGTGGCTCCTTCAGGTGCACCCTCCCAGGGAGCTGCCTGCATCCCTCTGACCTGTGTGCTGACTGCACAGAGGAGCCCTCGTGCAAGGCTGTCTTTATCTAACCAGACTTGGGGGTGCTCAGTGTGACAGTCTCTTTACCCAGAGCTTTTGTCAGAAACTATTAGAAGCAAATTTGATCATCTTGGCTGCCTGAGACATTGTGTAACGGCTGCAGCAAACAACAGGCTAACAGGGCCAGGGATGTAGCTCAGTGTTGCTGCACCTGCCTGGCAAGCGCAAGGTCCTGAGTTTAATTTCTGATACCTAGAAAAACACAACAACAGGCTAACCACAAGCCTTAAATGGCAGGAGAAGTTGGGGGGGTGAGGTAGATGCCAGGGGGTGGGGCGGGGCCCTTGATGGCACAGCACTTGGATAGGAGGCCCTGGGGTCAAAGAAAAAACCTCTGAGTTTAATTTCTGATACCTAGAAAAACACAACAACAGGCTAACCACAAGCCTTAAATGGCAGGAGAAGTTGGGGGGGTGAGGTAGATGCCAGGGGGTGGGGCGGGGCCCTTGATGGCACAGCACTTGGATAGGAGGCCCTGGGTTCAATCAGAAACAACCTCCTCTCCAAAAATAAGATTTTACAAAGTCACTAAACAGCCAATCACAATAAACCCTAGTGAAGTTTCATTCCCAGAGTCTTGCTTCCTGAACAGTTACTACTTTAAGTGTCCAGTCATTAACAAAAAACCAGACATGCAAAGAAACAAGAAGGTATAGCCCACGTTGTGAAAAAAAGGAGTCAAAAGAAACTGTCCACTAGGAAACCCAAACAGAACTCCCTGGACTTCCTTAATGTCATCAGTCATAAAGGAAACCATGTTTAGCAACCCACCCTAATTTGCAGTTTTGCTTTAAGAGGTTTCAGTTTCCAGCAGTCAGTTGCAGTCTAAAAATACTGATGGGAAAGTCAAGAAATATACATAAGCTTTATTGATTTATTATTATTATTTTGGACAGGGGGGGTTTGAGACAGGGTCTCACTGTGTAGCCCACACTAGCCTTGAACTCTCAGCAATCCTGCTTCAGCCTCCCAAGTGCTGCGATTATAGGCCGGCAGATGTAAGCTTTAAATTATGCTGCTGGGTGCAGTGATGCATGTCTGTAATCCCAGCACCATGAGGGGCCGAAGCATGAGGATCACAGGATTGAGCAATTTACATGTCTCAAAATAAAAAATGAAGGGCTGGGCTGCAGCTTAATGCAAAGGCCCCCAGCTTTTCTTTCCATTTAAGGGCTGTTATTTGCGCTAACCATCGTATAGTGTCGCAGGCAGCCAAGATGATACTGCTTCTGCTGGTTTCTGACAAAAGCTCTGGGGAAACAGACTGTCACACTGGGCTGTCTCAGTTCCCCCGCCCCTTTGTGTGCCATTCTGATGGTACCCTGGCCTGCTCCGTCCTGCCACACTGGGTATGCTAACTGCCCCATGGCAGCTGAGAGAGACCACATCCATCTAACTTTCATTACAATATACTGTTAAAACTGCTGTTTCATTAGTAGTTGTTATCTTTGTGTCAAATACACACACTAAACTGTCATAGTGAGAGGGCCGAGAATTTAGCTCAGTGGCACCACACTTGCCTTGCAAGTACAAACTAAGTTTAGATCTCTGGTACCACCCCCCCAACTGTCATTGGTACACACAGGAAAAGCAACATAGAAAGGACCAGTGCTATCTTTGGTTTCAGAGACCCACTAGGTATCTTTGGATGTATCATTCTTGAACAAGGAGAAACTACTGTTTGAATAACTAAAGGAAAACATGAGAACAGTTTCTCACCAAATAGAAAAAATATCAATAAAAATTAAACAGAATTTCTGGAGTTGAAAAATACAGTAACCAATTTTTTAAAAATTCACTAGAGGTGCTCAGAAGGTTTAGGAAGATACAACAAAGAACCTGCAAACCAGAAGATAGGCTGAGATTATCCATTCTGTGAGAGAGAGAGAAAAGAGAATAATGAAAAAAGAACAAGCCGGACGTGGTGGCACATGCCTGTAATCCCAGCACTCGGGAGGCTGAGACAGGAGGATCACTGAGTTTGAGACCAACCTGGGCTACACAGTGAGTTCCAGGTCAGTCTCAACTTACATGGTGAGACCTTGTCTAAAAAAAAAAAATTGAACGGAACTTCAAAGACCTGTGAGACACCATTCAGTGCACCAACATAATCATAATGGGAGTACTAGAGAGAAGAAGGAAAAAGTGAAGAAATTTTGGGCCTGGTGGTGCCCACCTGTAATCCCAGCAAGGCCAACATGGAACATATAGGGAGACGTTGTCTAAAAAAAAACCAACCAAAAACCTACTTCAAGCAAGAGAAGGGAATAGTGGGAGACTAGATAAAGAAAAAGGAAAGAGATAGCACACAAATAACAAATTTACCTATTGACAACTACAGTAAATGTGAATTAGATTAAACGTTACAATTCAACACAGGGAAATCCATGATTTACCCTGAAAGTACCTTGGTTATTTCATCAGATATGCTGTAATCCAGGAATCTCAACAGGGTCAGGTAGATGCGGAACTTATTCAATACAGAAGGCAGCACTGTGGAGAGAAGGCTGTTCGTGTACTCTTCCATGTTGGGTGGAATTAGCTGGGGTTGTAAGTGGAGCTGGCAATCTGCCTGGAAAGAAAAATACACAAAATTTCGTAGCTTCTTATGTTAAATTGCATTTTAAGGAAGATGCAGACTATTAGTTCCTAAGGAAATCACTAAATACTATTGGTGCAGGATCAGCAATCAGCTTTCAATATTGACACTCATAACTACCACAACAATTAGTTAGCTTTTTCTGATTGTTTCCTCAATGGTATATAAGCATATAGAAAGACAGGCAAGCTCTAATAGTTCTCTATGGAAAACTATTTTAGTCAAAGGGTGTTTCTCATCAGTCCCAGGTGAACACTACTGCACAGACCAACCACACCTTTTAAGTGTCCAGAGCATTTCTCATCCTCAGAACTAAAAGCTCTGATAAGACATTCCGAAGAACACAGAATTTCACCACAAAGCAAAAAACTCATTACGAAGTAATCAGAAATATTTTAGAAGGAACTCTAGGACATTTTCACCTAAGACAGGCAAAAAACAATGGGATGCAGCAAGAATAGCCTGGAAGTAAATCAGGCAATCTACAAATAGTATCTACTTTTTATGCCTAGATGAGAAGTTTCTCAGTCCAACAGCCCTGGGTATCATGAGATTTGCTGCTACCTGGGTTCTTCAGAGATTAAGTTTTCACTCCAAGGCAAAACAAATAAATGCTTCCCTTACTGATAATCTGCAATTACAATTTCTCAGATATAACTACTAAGCACCCCCACGAAACAACAAAAATGTAGCTATCTTTTCCAAATGTAACCTCCTCCACTGAACAGGGACTCAGGGTACCGGGAGGAGTGACCGCCCCTCTGAGGTGATAAGAACATTGATGTTGCAGGGGAATTCCATCTGGTGGTAACTGAAGTCGTAATCCACCTTCTGCCAGGTTATCAGGTTGCTCAGGGCAGTCACATTATGAACACCTACAAGAGCATGAACAAAGTTTCAATCACTCGATTTTCATCACCTACACAGATTAGTTTAGCTGCCAGTGATTATATGACGTTTCTACTGCTTACATAAGGGATATGAGGCACTGATTATACTAAGCAGAATGCTCCCCAAATCTAAGCCTGGCGTCTAATACATGACAGACAACAGTGGTCTCTCAGCAAGTAAGACCACTTCCTGGGTGGTGCGCTCACAGGGCTGAAGTAACATGGTGGGACCCTATTTCTGTACGCAGGTCAGGGTACCGAATTTTGATGATTTTGTACTCACTTCTTCCTTTAATGTTCCCCATCTACATCATTTTTCCTTCTATCTCTACCTTCTGACCTTTTCACCAAAGTGTCATCTTGTAGTCTCTGTATTACTTCCTTCCTTGTGTGTGTGCATGCACTCTGGGGAATGTTCATTCCCCAAGGGCTCATGCATGCTAGGCAAGCACACTACCACTGAGCTAGACTCCCAGCCTTTTTAAAAAATTGTTTTTGTTTTCAGACAGGGACTAAGTTTCCTAACCTGGTCTCCAAGTTGCAATCCCTTCACTTCCACCTCTTGAGTAGCTGGGATTACAGGCATACACTATCATATAACATATTCCATAACCGAGGTTAGTTCAAATTATCTGATCTACAAAATATTTTTTCCAGAGATGCTGTGAAAAATGTTCTAATTAATTTATGTTTGTAGTGCTGGGGATTGGATGCAGGGCCTCCCACAGGCAAGGCAAGTACCCCACCACTGCACTGCATTCCAAGCCACTAAAACATGTTTTAAAAAGTTCACATGAGCTGGGTGTGGTGGCACATACTTGTAATCCTAACACTTGGGAGGCTGAGGCTGAGGCCTCTAATTTGAAGCCAGCCTGAGCTACATAATTCAAGGCTAGCAAGATCCTGTCTCAAAAGAAAGAAAAAGAAAAAAGGCAACAGGAATGTTGTTAGATCTTTAAAATAATTCTCTTTTGAGGTAACAGATAATTAAGGCAAAATCTCTTCCCACGTAAGCACTTAAATTAGTATTTTACTCCTGCACTATTTTCAGAACATGGTAACAGAAAAGCTGGTAAACACAATTAGTTTATGACATATGCTTTAATCAAGTGCATGTGCACAGACTTTACCTTAAATGCCTGTTGAATTTGTCTTTGTCCACAGACATCCTTTTAAAAAGTTATTAACAGATTTGACTTTAATGAAGGGAAGCACCGGTATGTACCTGGCGTGTCCAACTGCCCTTGTTCCAGCAGAGTCTCATCGATGACCAGGGAAGTGTTGTTGGGCAGCTGGAGGAGCCCACTGACCAAGCGATTGGCTGTGTAGTCTTTATGGGGGATGAATTTCAAACGGTTCATGTTCTCTATAGTCATCTGCAGACGAAAAGACTACAAGAGATTTTTTAATAAGCAAGGATGTGTTTCTCTGTTTTAACAATATATATATATATATATATGTTGGGAATTAAAACACTGTTTCAAATACAATGATCTTATAAATATTTAGGAATAGAGTGATGAGGTTTCTGGAACTCTTAGAAGCAAAAATATTATCTATATCATGCATTAGAATTTCATTCAATGAGCTGCTTTATTCTCAAATGCCATGTTCAACAGCCTTGAGTACTTTTGATTTTGCCAATTTCTACAAATGGTAGACAACAGACATACGTGTATCAACTATCCAGAGGCTGAACTTAACCAAACATAAGCTAGAAAAACAGAAAACATTTTTTTCAAGTCAAGAAGAAAGGCACGGTGCAGTAGTACACGCCTGTATCACTACTCACTAGGCTGAAGCAGGAGGATGGTAAGTGCAAGGCTAGACTGGGCAACTTAAGAAAGACCTTGCCTCAAAATAAAAAATAAAAAAGGTAAGATATAACTCAGTAACAGCACTGGCCCAGTAGGCACAAGGCCCTGGATTCAAATCTCAGTGGCCCCCTAACCCCAAAAGACAGGGAGAACCATATTCATTCATCATAGGCCAATGTACAAGTTTCCGAACAAAGTGAGAGAACAGCCTAGGAACAGAGCACACTGAGCTATGGCTCTTGCTGCACATCTCTCAAGTGACGGTTCCACTGCACTGGAATCTGCTAAGCCAGTGCCACCGCCTCCACTGCCGCGTCCATCCTCTGCTCCAAGGCCCCTCACTCTGCTCTAGACCCCTCTGCTCTCCTACACATGAGCTGGAAAGGAAGTGTGCAGGGTGGGAGGAAGCTTGTTGAAAAGATAAAACAGAACCAAAATTTGGAGGATTTTTGTACTTTGGCTCAATGATCCTACGCAAACACACAGCTCTGCAGCCCCTGCCTGGTGCTGTTCTCGCCACAGGATGGAAGCTTCCTCTGAGCAGCCTCCGGGCTTGGCGGTGTCTCCTCAACACCTGTGAGCTAGGCCCTCCCTGGCCCTAGGAACCGGCAGCTCCTCCAGATCTGCTGCTAGAGCTGTCCATCTTCATCTCCTGAGATCTTACTATTCTGCAGGACATGTCAATGACCTACCTTGGATTAATTTAACTCTCCAAAGTGCTACAAGACCTAGGGAACTGCTGAGATCATTTTATGTGGTTCATGGGATAAAAATCAGGAGTTAAATCAGATTCTTTCAGTGTGCAAGTCAGACCAATCAATTTTACAACAGAACACGAAAATTTCACTGATATGTTTTCAGATGCCACACTTCAACTACCATTTAAGAAAACATACTTCAAAAATAACATTGCTTTATAACAGACTACATGTGAAAATAGACATAAAAATCTACTGGTCTTTTAATCCAGATATTAAAGAGATTTGTAAAAATGTAAAAACTGTGATTTATTACTAATATTTTTGGCTTGGGAAGTTTTTATAAAAATACTTATGCATCTATTTATTTCTAATGAATTAGTATTTTAACCTATTTTCAATTTTAATTTCTAATGTGGGAAATTAAAAAGCAAACCCCACAGCTCTCTGAGTCCTCAAGACTTGGTCAGGAGACTGCCTGTCTGTTCCGGCCACTGTTGCTCTTGGAGGGCTGGGCCCAGAGTGGCAGCACTCAAGATGCTGGATGAGTGGGTCACCTGGCTCAGCTTCTTGAACTCCCAAAGTGAGAGGTGACCAGTGTTTTCAGTCACACGACTGCTCAGAAGCAGCTCCCCTGTTCCCAAAATCCTGCCATACAAAAGCACTACACTCCTATGTCCTGGGAAATACGGGCAGCTCAATTTTCCAAACAGGAATTAAAACTGAAGCAATGACGACAGAGATCTTTATTACCTCAGCTAAGAGAATTAGGCTCCCAAAATTTAGAGCTTATTTAGATTTACGACTTTAATACATACAAAAGGATATTAAATTGCACAACTCAGCATCAATAGAGAGAATTACAAAGGAGTTACTCTAATTGTATTGTTAGACTCACAAAACTTTGTACTAAGGAATGTATGTGAAATGTTTAGCAGACTGTACATTTTAAATTATGTAACTTGGCAAGCTCTGTTTTCCCATCAAATGAGATCTATTACAATCTCAAAGTTAAATATTTGGGTTGAATAAAAGGCAATTAGGTGGATTTGTTGTATGCTTAGGATTATAATTTCTATTTATATTGATCTTACTGCTGGAACAAGATGTTGAATAATTCGATATAAATGTTCTGTAAAGGTACTATTCCGTGGACAACCACTCAGGTTCACAGTGAATTTTCCTAGTGGAAGAACATCTCTTCTTGTGTATCTAGGGGAAAAAAATCAATAAGTAATATATTGAGGTGATTTCCACAAAATGTTAATTAAAAATTTACTTACTATTGTCATTAAAATATAGAATACTCTAAATAGATATTTTATGTATTAGAACAAGTTAAAATAATAGCCAACACTTGTATATAAAGTGCTAATCATACACCAGGATTGACTCTGAACACCTCCCGCCCTTCTTTCTTCCTTCCCTTGCTTTTTTGCAGTACTGGGTATCAACCCCAGCGCCTTGTGCACACCAGGCAAGCACTCAATCACTGAGCCACGTTCCTAGCCCTGCATTTTCAACTAATCTCCAAATAGGCTGAACGAGAAAATGTTTTACAGATGAGACAGATGAGGATCATAATTAAGTACAGGTTGATTATCCCTTATCCAAAATGCTTGAGACCAGAAACGGTTCAGATTCTGGAGTATTTACATACACTTCACTGGTTGAGCATTTGAATGTTCCATAATATCAGCTCTCAAAATATTTTAGACTCTGGAGCATTTCAGGTTTTGGGATTAGGGATGCTCAACTTGTAACAAACTCATCTGGCCAGGAAGCAACAGAGACAGGATGTGAATTTGCGTCCCACATCTCACCCAAGGAAAGAGCCACAGGAAAAAATGTTCACTGCAATGTTATTTATTATAGAGAAAAACTAGGAAAACCTAACATTGAGGAACATGGGTAAAAAATGAGACAACTATATAATGAAGTAATGTGCAGCCACTAAAAGGTTCATGGAGAACGACAGCAAAATGTTTTATAAATACGAAAAACAAGATATAGATATGTACTTGGGAGTATAAATGATATGTGTATAGGTATACAAAGCACACATATATAAACAAAAACCTTAAACAAGTACCAGAATGGTAACTGAGATTATCTCTCAGTGCTCACATGACAGATGAATGCTATTTTCTTTTTTGTATTCCTGGAACTTGCTGAAGCAAAACATTACTGTTGAAATCAGGAACAAAACACAATGGAGTGAAAGGGTGAGGTGCTAATCTCAATGTACAAGTTAAATGTGCACATGGTGTACCTTGTTGACTGTTTTGAGGAGCAGAGCCTTGTTCTGAACAAACAGGACCCAGAACACAAAAAGGGGGCTGGGGATGTAGAGTGGTACAGTATTGCCTGAAACGCCCAAAGCCCTGGGTTTGATCCTAGCACAAATTTTAAAATAAGAAAGAATAAAGGATAAAGTAGCTTACATTTTACTTATCAGCCAAGTCTTTTATCTGACTTTGGCTCTAATAACTAGGGGAAGATAATCAAAATGCTAAATGTGAACCTGAAAAAAGGTAAGAAAAGGATGATTTGTTTTGGTATAAAATATACTACAGAGAACAAACACCACTTTATGAAGCCTGAATTGAAATACAGAAATTACATCAGAAACCATCCTGATCTTTTTCATAGTTTTGAACCACACTCAATTATTAACTTAATTCCCACCAGAAATACAGACAGCACTTACACTGTAGAGATGAGATGTAATATAAGGTATTCAGCAGCCAAACTGTCTCCCAAAAGGGCATGAGTGAGGAACCCCAGCAATTCTGCTCTGACTGGAGACAATTCGGACATGAAACTTGACACAACTGCAAAAGGAAGGAAGACAGGTTCAGAATACACATGCCAGCTCCTCTCAAGTGTCTCAGTGCAAAGCTAACTTGGTGAAAAGAACATTTCAATTCAGTGGACGGCTAGTGTGAATGTAGACTATTGACCAACAGTTATGCCAATCTTAAAACTAAGGAGAATTTATATGTTTTTCTTTTGTCTCATTTCAATGAAAGGAAGAAGAAAAGGGGGCAAAGCAATACACTACTGAAGGCGAACGAGGCTCTCTCAATTCCACTAAAAGCACAAGACAGGCAGCTGTGGACACAGATGGAGGGAAAGCAGTCTGTGGTTCACTACACTTTAACACTTACACTTACAGGTTCTGCTCTCCTCTTTGTTAAGGCAGGCAGGTAACAATGGGTTGATGTGCTGCAATTTCTGGGCCAAAACCACATGAATTCTTGGCACTAATGAGGCAGGAGGACTGTGTACCCTCTGCTCCTCTGCTGTATCTGTGCACTCCATGGAGTCCAGCAGTGCAGAGGAATCTCTGCAGAGACCAGAAGCTCCAGATTAGAGACGCGAATTGCAAACATGTAAAAACAATGTGCACCTCCCAAGGCAAAATTAGAATCCAAGCCAAAAGCCCTTCCACTTGCACATCTCCCTCATTCTAAAATGTTTCCCCGTCACATAGATTTTAGGATAGTTTGGTGCAATAGAATGGATTTATTTCATTCTTCAGGTTCAACAATATTTTTTACTCAGTACGCTAACATAAATGGGCTAATAGAACGTCACTTGTAAGATTATTTAAAAACACAAACACTTGTTCTTCAGTTCTCAGCTGAGATACCAAATACCTCAGCACATTCCAAAACTCGGGTGTCCTCTAAAGCCATCCAGGATCTATTATTCAGCATATGGAGAATAGATCATCTCTACCTAATTCTCTTTCCTGAATTTTATTCTTATATGAAATCTCCCCTGAATAATGAGAATAAGCAATGAAAAGTGAACTCTTCAGACTTGCTAAATAAATTTACATAAGACAGGTTTATTGTAAGTGACCGAAGTAAATGCCTAAAATGTTTTAACATCTTCAACTTACCAGTATTGCAGTGTTCAATACTTTCCACACACATATTCATTAAAACCCCACAATTACCCCTCTTTACGGTGAAGAAAAAAGTCTAAGATCAAATAGCCACTAAAGAGGCCAAATCAGAATTTCAACTCTAAACTAAGCAGCCTTAGTAACAGTAACTGAGGAGGAACATCATCACAGACAGAATTAGCAAGACTATTAATTTTAAGGACTATTACTAAGAGATTGTTATGTTTACTTAAAGTTGTTTAAAATTTGTTTTGTACCTTTTTTTTTTTTTAGTGTGGAAAAATACAAGTTCTTCCTATGCAGAAACCATGATGAACATTTGGTATTACACAACATAATGCAACTGTCTATCAGTACTCCCCCCCTTTGGCAATTTAAAAAGAAAAATAAGAAAATTTAATGTATTTTATTAAGTGAAAACATAAACGAATACAGATACTACACCATCTTTCATAGAAGAAAAAATGGGAGGGCTGGGTATTTGACTCAGTGGTTTTGCCGCCTGCCTCACAAGTGCAGGAAATCGAATACACATGTATCTAATTATTTCTGCAAAAGAGAATACAGGAAGGATAAACCAGAAACTAGGGAGATGTTTCCCTAGGCAGTTGGGTGGGACCAGGCAAGCAGAGATGAGGTAACAACAATGACTCTATTAACTATTTTTGGTACTAGGGATTGAACTCAGGTCCTTGTGTTTGCAAGGCAGGAGATGGAACCACTGAGCTAAGTCCCTAGCCCCAAGTTTAAGGTGTTTTTTTGTCCCCCGCCCCTGCGTACCAGGAATTGAACTTGGGACCTTGTGTTTGTGAGGCAGGCAGCAGAACAACTGAGCTAAATCCCCAGCCCCATAACAATTCTTTAAATAAATGGAAGAGAGAAAAAGTCTCTCAGAGTTGAATGCCTAAAAAATGCAGAGTGACTGAGTTAGTGATTGAGTTCACAACTGAATCATCAATGGATGCAAATTGAGTCAGTGCAAAGTTAATGAAATCTCCTGTTATAATGCACTAAGAATGATTTGCCATTTTTGCAGTTTCCGTCCTTCTTGAAGCAGTATGCTAAATAACTGCCTTGGCCGGACATGGTGGTGCATAACTGGGATCCCAGCACTCGGGAGGCTGAGGCAGGATGACTGCTGAGTTTAAGACCAGCCTAGTCTACACAGTGAGTTCAAAGCCAACCTGAACTACACTGTGAGACCCTGTCTGAAAACACAAACACATACACATAGAAGGCCCTCTGCTCTCTGCCATGTGAGAAGATGGCCATCTTCTAACCAGGGAGGTCCTTCACTAGATACCTGATGTTGGTGTTTCCAGCTTCTAGATGTCTTAAGTTTTTGTTTAAGCCAAAACAAAACAATACAAAACAAAAAACAAAAACCCCAAAATCAAAAAACTGTCAAGGCCATGCAGGACAATGAAAGGCTGTGAACTATTTTGGATTCATGAAATCAGCGATCCTATGGGTCCTGGACCAAAAGTGAGGTTGAGGAATGAGACAGCTGATGAATATAGGTTATGGACTGTGGATTCGTGTTACATATTCATGGCCATCTCCTAATTTTAATACCTGTGCTCTGATTACACACAAAGCCTTTGTGCTTAGGAAATACTGACTCAAATATTTAGAGGTAAAGGGTTTAATGTATATAGCTTAATCTCCAATGTTTCAAAAAAATGTGAACATAAACAGCTCAAATGAATGACAAAGTAATATGGGGCACAGGTGTTGACAGATAGCAAATCTTAGTAAAAAGGGAAGGGAGTTCTAAAGAACTCCACTATCTGCCACTTTTCCCACAAATATGAAATTATATCCAAAAAAGTAAAGACAAAAAAGACAAATGGACTCACCTTTCGTCACTACTCAGTATACTTAGCACAGGGTCCACAGACAGGATGCCGTATAACTCAAGAACATCATTTACTTTGAAACAATCGCAGTCTTCATAGACCTGACAAGTAATCGCATGAAATCGTGTTAGCACTAAGTGACTCAAAAAGTCTAAGAAATTAGTCTTAAAATAGTAATATCTTAGAATTTAGGCTAAAAAATGGACCTTAAAGTAACCCCTGTATTTCATAAACTGACACCTGAAGAGATAAGGGAATTGTCTAAAGTATTCTGCTAGTCAGCAAGTACAGCAAAACCCAAACACAGATCCTGACTCCCAGATCAATGTCTATTTCAAATATGCCACTCTACCAAAAAAAAAAAGGCTTTTCCTAAAGGGTGATGGTCAAAATTTAGAAACATGCATTATTTTAAAATCTATTAACCACACTGAGAAGGAAACCCAAAACAAAATAAGCCAGGATGATTAATTTTAGACTTACAAACTATACAACATCAGCAGTTTAACACAAAACTTACAATGGCCACAAAACTTTTCATAATAAAAAAGAAACTTTCAAAATTGTCCAGATGAATTTTAGAAAAGTGTCAAAGCCTCTTCCTGGTGAGAGCTGATGGGAAGGAGAATAGCACAAACTTTAAACTGCAAAGAGTAAGAATGGAAATTCCTGGCAATCATTTCTGAACCTCTTATCACTTACTGACATGGATCAAAAACAAAAACCAAAAACAACAAAATAATAGAACAAAACCAGAGTAAGCAAGATAGAAGAATAGCCTTTCAATAGACTTTTTTCTATTTTATCTTAAATTCAAGTGACTTATTACTTTATTTTATCCAGTCCAGGGAATTGAACCCAGGGCCTTTACACTGAGCTCCAACCCCAGCACTTGTGTTTTTTCCCCACAGTATACACCAATTACTTATTTAAATAATGATAGAAAAAATAGGTTTAGTGTGACAGTTTATATTCATTGGATTTGTTTTACCATTTAAAAACAGTGCTGCCTCTAGGTTATCCTAGCTAGCTAGAGAACACTTCATGACACACGCAGCTACTGTAATACTGTAATAGATACTGCCACTACAGAATGATTTGCCAAGTTGGGAGGAAACTCAACAGTAGGTTTTTTGGTATCAGGGATCGAACTCAGGATCTTGCAAGCAGGCAGCGGAACCAGAGCTAAATCCCTAGCCCAAAACTCAACAGCAGTAATGGTGACTAGTTGATCTAAGCTAAAAACATTGATAATATACAAACTCTTTTTCTCAATGAATTGAAAGGGCTATAAAATTCCACCTACTGACAAAGGAAGCAATATACTCACACTGACGATACCTTAAAGGACAGCTGGACACTCAGCTACATACTTTTCTAGACTGCATGGCTTTCAGGTTGGCCTACCATTAGTGACTGAAAGTTGGTCATCTGACATTGACTTGTGTGGGTTTTTAAAAATGGAGAGAAAATGGCAAATTATGCCATATGTATTTACAGAATCCAAAGAATCAATCTGAGTAAATGTGAAATAAATAAGTGGTTCATGAGTAAATACAATCTCTGAGCTGACTTAAATCTAGGAGAGTGAGCCAAGTAAGCACTAACAATACCACATAGAAATGTCTAGAAACTTCACTTTCTACAACTCAGTTTGGGAGACCATGTCTTGTCTGAATATATACAATATTTACAAAATATTCCCTTTTGGCCTCTGAAATTTAGCCATTTTTGTTTGGCTATTAAGCTGTTTTCTTTCCATATGCTAGCCAATACTGCAGTTATTACTATCATTAAAATACTCTTGTGCATGAATTACAAATATTAATAAATAACTCTGCATGTATAAATATCTCAATAGTCTAGCAGAATTTAAAGCATTCACAATGTACATAAAAGTATTTGTTTTTGGTAGGGCTGGTAGTTGTTTTTTGTGTGTGTGGTTTTTTTTTTTAAGTCATCACTGTTTCAATAAAGCTTTGTACATGGCAAAGCCCAAAACACAAAACAGTAGCATCAAAACTCGCTCGAAGCCAAAACATGGAACTCTAGAGGTCAACTGCATCATGTACGGGCCATTGTCAGTTTAACAAAGATACCCTGCCTGGGTGCATCAGCAGTATTGCAAGTGAAGGCGTGAGGTAGAGCCACTGTGTTTCCTGCAGAAACCAGCAGGTGAGATACTATATTCTTGTTTAACTTCATGCAGGTCTGATTCTGGAACTACAATTAAGCAGGGTATTCTGCTATCCATAAAGTGTTGCTTAAAAATCCTGGCACAGTAGTCAAAGGGTTTGGGATTGGTAACATCATACATCAAGCATAAAATGTCACAAGTGATCTCAGACTCATGCACTAGTATTTCTTCCATACACATAAACAGTGTTGATCGCACAGTAAGATTTATGATCATCATGGATTTTCTTCTGCCTCATTAAGTTTTTTCCAAGAAGTGCCTAAAGAACTCCACTTTTCCCACAGCTTTTCATTCCAATTACATTACATCTAAACACATTTGAGTCTGGTTCTTCTGAAGATCTATCTTTTTATCTTTTACTACTGTAATGGCTGAAGCTGGAGACTCTTGTTCAGTCAATATGGAATAACCTAGATAGCCCAAATACTCCAGGAATCTCTGAACATCTAAATAAATTGTGCGCGTTCACTGAGAAAGGAATCCCTGGTAATTTATCCAACTTCTTTCATTTCTACAAACTGTTATTCACAACAGGTCCCCAAGGTATGTAATGGAAAACTTTAAATAAAGCTTTAAGCTCATCTGGTGACAAAACAGTCTCTTATCCAAATCATGTTTGTCAAAGGAGCTTTGGTGAAACAAATATGCATGATGATTTAATTCAGTCGTGCAATCAGGAGGTATTTTTAGCATGGGGAATAAATATTTGGGTGTCAAATCTAGATCATCATCATAACCAAATATCAAAGTACAGTCCAAATAGTTTCGTCTCCCTTTCTGAATAAAAAGTGTAAAAAGAGAAAACTCTTCAATGTCAATCCACTGTCAGCTACACCATCACTGATGTTTTCTGACTGTATTCTTGACATCTTCCAGAGGAGCTTATGGAGTGCTGAAACAAATCCTCTGAAAGTAGTTCAGCATCATTGAGTGTACCAGCATTATCTTGATCAGAGATTTTAAATATACGAGTAAGAGCTTTTATACAGGCTGGCTTCATCTGCTTGTCCTCTGGGCAGCACAGGGGGCCTGTAGGATGAAATACAGCTTTCTGTGTATAATAAAAGAGCTCTGATATGTTCTTTAGGTTTTTTGCTGAACACTCCGAAGGTTTCTATTTCTGTATAGTAATTCATAATAGGATGGATGGTCTCTACACTTCTACATTCCACCAGATCAGATCTGTTCCCAACCAGTGTCGAAGGCAATTTGCTGTCTTTGTCTGTTCTTTCATTTATGAGAGGAATCCATCGACTTGCTATCAATAGAATGTTTGTTGTTAACAGAATGCAGATGACATTAGCCTGTGATATTTCTCAACGAAGTTGTTCATCGCTCTGTTCTGCTTCTGAGTAATCTACAATGTGTGATGGGACTCTCAGGGGTGACATCAGCTGGAATGGTGATTTCTGCCTGAGGGGAAAGATCTTCTGGAAATTCTTCACTGACCAGAGACATAATCAGTGATGTCTTCTTCCCAACTCTAGGTTCTCCCACCAGCAGAATTTGCATATCTTTCTTCATGTCAGCAGCTCTCTGGGGCTGAGCTCAGTCCGTACACACGGAGTGAACTCCTCTGTCCAGGAGCACCCACCCCATGACGCTGCTCTCCATGCAATGCTAGCACCACCTGCCAGCCTCTCGGTCCTCTTTGCCCAGGCTTCAGCCATGCTGCCTCCTTCGCTGCCTCACTGCTAGGGACCCAGGGCAGCACCAGATCTGCTTCCTCTAGGCTCGGCAGGCAGAGGCCTGTATTATTTGTGAGAGAGGGTCTTGCTAAGCTGCTAAATTGCCTAGACTGGGCCCAACCTTGCAATCCTCCTGCTTCAGTCCCTCCTGGGATTACAGGCATGTGCCATCACACCTGGTTTGAGACAGGAGTCTTGTTAAAACAAGGAAGAATGGCAAAAATGCATACTATAATATTAGAAACAGTTCAGGAAGGATGTAGACGTGGGTTAAAAAGTTGTTTTGTTTCCATGTTTGACATATTCTTTGATTCTTGTACTTCCAAGAATTTATTTATTTTTTTGGTACTGGGGATTGAACTGAGGGTCTTATGCTTGGAAGGCAGGTGCAGGGCCACTGAGCTACATCCCCTGTGCCTCTCTGATTCTTTAAGAATGCTGCAACAGCCAGAATAAGGACCCTGAAAGATGTTTACAACCAACTTGTAAGAATGTCACTTTTTATGCAAGAAAGGTTTGCAGGTATGATGGGGAAATTATCCTGGTGGATGCAGTGTAATCACACAAGTCCAGAAAAGGGGAACCCTTCTTGGCTACAGTCAGATGGAGATGTCAGTATAAAAAAATGGTCAGACAAGGAAAGAAGGAAGGAAGGAAGGAAAGAAGGAAGGGGAAAAAGGAGGAGAGGAGAGGAAAAGGGAGGGGAGGAGAGGAGAGGGAGAAAAAGAAAACTGGTCAGACAGATGCAATGTGGCTGGCCTTAAAAGTGGGAAAAGGCCAAGTCAAGCAATGAGGGCCAGCTCTAGAAGCTGGATAAGGCAGAAATAAAAACAAACAGAAATCCCCAGATTCTCTGCTAAAACCTATGGTAAAGAGGGCCGGGATTTAGCTCAGTGGCACTGCACCTGCCTTGCAAGTAAAAGTTCCTGAGTTCGATCCCTCGTACGGTACCAAACCAAACCAAACCAAACCAAACCTATGGTAAACAATGAAGGCTTCTTGACAACTTGATTTTACCCCAGTGAAATCCACATTGTACTCCTGACCCAAAACCTGTATAATAAAAATGTTGTTGCTGCAGGTCTCTAAATTTGTACTGATTAGCGGCATCACCAAAGAAAACTGATACTAACACCACAAATTTTCCATATCACTTTCCTACAAAGGTAACACAGGCTTCAATGTCAGGGGTAAGAAAGGTTTGATAACATTACCTTCACAAGGCAGGCAGGGCCCTTCTCTCCAGGCAATGGAAAATTCAGATCAAAAGGAGAAGAGAGGTTTAAGGAGTTCAGCTGTTGACCTGTGGAAGCTTCAGTTTCTAAACGTTTTGGCTCTCCACACCACTGAAGACCACCAACGCTTCCTAAATTCAAAGGACAGCATCACACTTAAGTCATTTCTAAGGCACCCTGAAGAAAAAAAATTCTAAAAGTGTTTCTCAAGTTGGATATAAATGATGCTTCTGAGTTTGAAAAGATCACATTGCTGTAATTTTATTAATACATACTAGCAGCAAAACCTTTTGACCTACAAGAGAGTAAAGTATGAGTTAGAAAATTTTAATTCTTTTCTTACTACAAAATGGCAACAAATTACTCATATCAAAACCACATATAAGTTAATATTCAAAGGGCCAGGGTTTTAGCTCAGTGGTTCTGCTGCCTTTCTTGCAAGTGCAAGGTCCCGAGTTCGATCCCCAGTACCAAAAAAAAAAAAAGTTATTATTCAATATGGTTACTTTAGTATCTCTGATTTAGAAAATACATGCTCTGTTACTACAAAATACCTTGGTAGGACATATTTTCTTATCAGGCAGAGTAAAGCCAGACAACAATAAAGTAATCCAACAAATATTCATTAATATCCACTATTTACCATGAATCAGATAAATTAATGGGAATATATAGATCATTCAAAGATAGCCCTTACTCCTGTAGTAGTTCCAATTTAGGGCTGAAAGATAATTAGTATAAAAATATAGCCTACCATACACTATTCAATAATAATATAAAGGAACTATTGATACAGACAACAACTTGGATGGATCTAAAATAAATCATGTTGAGTAGAAAAAGCCAGTCCCCAAAGTGTATATTATGTATGATTCCATTTATATAACATTCTTGTAGCTACAAATTTATAGAGAACCAATTAGTGGTTGTCAGGGGTTAGGGACTTGGGTGGGAGAGACAAGTATGATCATTAAAGGCCAATGGGAGATCTAGGTCTAAATCCTCACTGTCAGCATGGCTACATGAATCTGCATGTAACAAAACTCTATAAAAACTAAACACACACTAACAAGTGCTTATAAGAATGTGAATTCTGAATAAGGCTGATGGGTTGAATCAATGTCCATTTCCTGGGTACTGATATTCCACTAAAATTATGTGAGATGTCACAATTAAGGGTACTACTTTTCTTTTCTTTTTTTTTTTTAAGACAAGGTTACTCTAATGTAATTCCGGATGACCTCAAACTTGTAGCAATCCTCCTGCCTCAATCTCCCAAGTGCTGGGATTACAGGCCTGCACCACCATGCCTGGCTTCTGTATTACTTCTTACAAGTGAACATAACTCTACATATCTCAAAATAAAAGATGTGTGTGTTTGTGTGTGGGGGGGTGTACTGAAAGACTGCTGAGAAACTGACAAGTTGAACTTTATGTAAAAATAATGTACTCAAGTGCATAAAAACCACTATAGTATAATATTTATTTTAAAAAGGGCAAGAAATAGAGCTAGGTACGGTGGTGAACACCTGTAATCTCAGTACTCAGTAGGCTAAGGCAGGAAGATTGCCCCAAGTCTCAGGCCAGCAGGGGCTAGACAGTGAGTTCAAAGCCAGCCTGGAATACATAGTGAGATTCTGCTTCAAACCCCTACCCCTTCAAAAAAAAAACCAACAAAAAAAAAAAAA